GAACAACGGTCTCTGTGACCAAAAAGGACTTTTCTGTGAGGTAAAGAGACCAGTTTTACCCTGGTGGTTTTTCCACTCCTTTCTCTTTCGTTCTTTCTTTCTCTCTCTGAGCCGCACTGATGGGTTGGTGGAGATTTCTCTGAAGAGAAACAAAGTTCCCCGTGCAGGAGTCTGTCATAGGAAATTAAAACGTTATTAGTTTCAGGTTGAAACATCCACAGAAAAACAAACTCGGTGCACCCGAGGCTCTAGTCTGTACAATTTTAAATCATTCAACACACATTCAACCCTCCAGCTCCTCTGTGATTGTATATGTAAAGACAAGAACTCTAAGTCTCAGTAGATGATTCACACCAGCTTGTCTTTGTTTATTACATCACTTGTTCTGATCCTCTGCACATTATATTTCTTTTTCAAAGGCACAGTAAACAGCACCTGGCACCATTTAAAATCAATAATACCACCTTTATTTTTATGACCATGATTTAAACTTGATTCATGTGAGCAGCTATTTATCATCCTTCGTTAGATTAACCTAACCTTTTGCATTTTAGCAGATAAATTTAATTCACAAGTTGAGTCAAACTGACGTGTTCTGGCTTATACTGTAGAGACTGTAACATACCCCAACTTTCTTAGTTATGTACATAGGTTATTAAAGTAAGCTGTTAATTATCTTGACAGTGCTGGCATTTTACTCTTAGTGTTACATGCAAATGAAGGACATTGGAGGAGCGGATTAATTACCCCAGTTGTTGAAAGACACTAACATTTAACAACTGCAAATACAAGTTTAAAAACATTGGCTCCTCTGATGTGTTTCCATTAGGAGCATGTTATGGCAAAATAAATGTTTTGAGAAGGTGCTTCTTAATGACGTCTAACTACAGATGATAGCTGAAGGTTACAAGATAGATAAAATTCTTAATGACGTCTAACTACAGATGATGGCTGAAGGTTACAAGATAGACTAGACTGGCTAATGATAAGCAATACTTTTTTAAAGTTGGAAGATATTTACAGTAATGATACTTTAATTTCAACAGCACAAGCTAAACCTACTTCAGCAATTAAGTCCAAAAAAATTTAGCCAGTAAAATGAATAAAGCCAGAGAAACCGACAACGATAGACAACATTTTAAGTTTGGTTGAGTCATGGCTTAAGGTTTGCATAAAGTATAGTATATTGAAGGAGATACAGTAATATATGTATCACCAAACCCTATTTAAATATGTAAAAACAAATCTTTATCAGGATTTAAAATTTTCATATCATACAAAAGAGCTAATTTTAAAAAACATTTTAAACAAAACGAGCTTACATTGGCAAAAACGTAATAATTTCAAAATATATAAGTGTATGTATTTTTGCCCTCATATATTAAATAAATCAGTTAATTGTCCAAATAATTTACTGATTTATTTAATATATTCTAGCTGAAAGCGTTGAAAATGCATGAAGGTTAACGGAGAGCAGTCAGGTGAATTATACATGGGTCATGGTGCGTAAGTCATATTAGCTGAACGAATAAGACTTGGATAATAAACGAAGATAGTACATCCAAAATGGTCGTTTCCTCAGCAACATCACAAAATACAGTAACCAGGTGATTTATACGTATGTTAACCAGGTGTCACATCGTTCCACACTGAGGCCAGCTTCTATTGTACGCTCATTTTTACACACTAGTGACGGGCTGCATGGATGGAACACAAATTCTATCAGTGGCAGGTTGGTTTTGTTGCTTTCTCCAAAGCCTAATATCGCCCAACATTAACAGGGGAAGGTTGAGGGAGGACACGATGGGGTGATACACCTGTTTAATCCGGGATTTCCCGGGACTTGGAGCACCTTGAGGCGAACAGCTGCCGGCATCCCTGCCCTTCTTCTCTATCTAGTATCAAGCAGGATACACACACACACACACACACACACCTTACAACTGTCACGGCAACGTCATCGTCAGAAAAGTACGCAGAGGACTTACGGTGGCTGAAAGCGGCTAGGAAGGGGTCCTATCTTAGTTCGGTTGTGTGTCCAGTCGTCGCTGTTTTTGTCCACCGCAGCAGTAAATATGGGTCAGCGCTCTTGACGCTCCTGCAGCTGATGTGACTGTGTGACCGCTGTCAAGCCGAGTTTCAATAATATATGACACTTCCGCTGGCTGATTTTTCAAAATAAAACGTAATATCATTGCCGATTCTGCCAAGTACAAGAGACATGCTGAATTTAAAAACGCGCTTTAAACATATTCAACAAACAAATGGGTAAACATTTAAAAATCGCAGTAAATGATCGTTTAATTTACTTTATGTACTTCTTGCGTCATAGATTTCACAGAAAAACGTAAACATGATTACTTCCGTGTGATTGGCACTACTTCCGGTGTCTTGATTTTCAAAGTAAATATTGTAGCGTAAAGACGCGCTTAGTAAAAACAAAACCTTAATATGCACATTTAAAAAAATATATAACAGGAAGAATATGTACATAGTATCATTCTTAAGCTTAGAATGTTAATCTTCAGCAGCAGTATTTTTTTAGAAAATAAACTGTTATATTCAGATCTTTGAGAATTTCAAGAATTAACAAAGACCAAGCAAGAGGAAATAGCATTACCTCTCGTTTAGTACTCAATTTGACAGCAGTTTACATTTTATGTTGAAAACCGGAAGTCGCCTCAATAAATAATTCCATTACAAACAAGAATGCTAATGCTGTCTAGCCTTTAATCCTCGCCAGTTTCGACCAACAACAAGTAAAACATATCTTCTAAATTAATAAAACCGTAACTTTTCCCCCAACGCTTACTGGAATAAAACCACTGATGACAATACATTGCTACGTCAACGCTGAACTAGAACGTGACGTCGCTTTAACAACGTCGTATCACAAGTAAAGATGGCGCATGAACGTCCCAACAATCTTCGCCCTGATTGGTTAACTTGCCTTAAGTTGAATTCTCATTGGCTTTTGGTAGACCATCAACTTCCGGTCGGGTCCACGAGAAGCCGTGGCGTGTGAAAAGAAGCTTTCTGTCAAAAGAAGGTAAACATGGTGAAATTTAGCATTGTAACTGTTTTTTTGTAAAACTTTAGAAAGAAAGACTTAATACAACAGGTTATTTACTGTACAAATTTTGACATCGTCGTCGTTCTGAAGGTTATTATGGTACTTGCACTAACAATTTTCTGCAATTTCATTATATTCCTTACCTCACTATAGGTTTTTGTTGTTTTTGCCAAGGTTATAATGGCTGAAAGCTGTGACGTTGTAGCCGTTATGAGTAGTCAGGATCCTGCAGAGGAAGAGAAGGGCGGAGGAAAAGGTGGAGGAGGCTTAGAGGGAGATGCTGCAGCAGCAACCGAAGGAGAAAAAGGTTTGACTGATGCTCAGAGAGAAGTGTTGCAGAGATGCCTTCATGCACTCAAACATGCTAAGAATGACAGCCACATTCTGGCTGCACTTCTACTGGTAAGTTTTCTCATAATGTTAAAAACCTGTAGGTTCTACAATGTCATTAAAATGGTAGATTTAAGAGACAATATTTAAGCATGAATATGAACATTGTGATTTAAATAACGTTATTTTCTTTTTTCTGGTGTAGATCACTCGTTTGTGTCCAGCAAATCAACTGGATAAACCCACCCTAAAAAGCATCTTTGAGGCCGTGGGACTCAACCTTCCGGCTCGACTTCTGGTGACAGCAATCAGAGGGAGTGAAACCTCTGCTTTACCACCGCACGAACTCCTGTCCCTGGGAACAGCTCTGTTGGCTGCTCTAAGCACAGATCCCGACATGGCGTCACATCCCCAGCTCCTCACAACAGTCCCGATTCTGCTGGGAATTTTAGCAAATGGACCTGTGTTAGAGCAGCAAAAACAAGAAGCACAAGAAAAGAACCAGGATGGAGATACAGTTCCAGATAAATTTGCTGAGAATTCAAGCACCAAGAGTCATGTTGAAAAATCAGCAACTGAAACCCAGGCCAGTGGTGAAAAGACAGAAAAAGACAGCACTTCAACATCACAAGACTCATCGCCCTCTGCTGGTCTGGATGAAGCTATGGCTGCCGACTGTTACCAGGTTTTGACAGCAGTGTTGGCATTACCCAGAGGTCCTGATCAGCTGCTGAGCAGAGGAGCAGTTCCTGCTCTGTGTAAAGCAGTGGAACAAAATCAGATTCTCAGTCACAACAGGGGTCTTGCTCTGCTCGGCTGCCTCCTCTCTGGAAAAACCAAAGACAAAGCGTGGATTAAACATCGTTCAGAACTCCTGTCTTTACTGATCAGACTCTGTAAAGATTTCTGCCAATCTAAAGATGAGATCAAATTGGACACGTGTTCTCGGTTGGTGCAGTTTCTGCCTCCGATTGGTGTTGCTGTTGAGAGTGAGGAACTAAAGGAAGTTCTGAGACATGTGGCAGGAGCATTAAGACCTATGATGCAGGCAAAGTTGACACCAAGACACCTCGGGCCGATACTAGTCTTAAGTGCATGTTTCCTGGACCTTTATGGGTGGGAGCTGGTAGGACCCCCAAAGCTCTGCTGCTTACTGGTGAACCGGGCCTGTGTGGAGGTCAGAATGGGCCTGGAGGAGCCGCCTGGTAATGACATCAGTCCAGAGCTTCAGCACACATTGACAGGTAGTATCTCAGCTTTCATACAGACTGTAGAAAGAAATACGTCTTTTCTTTCTTCTTCTTCTTCTTCTTAATCCACTCTCTTTCTCATTCTCAGGCTGTTACAGAATCATGGAGGCTGCCATTGAGCAGGCGTGTAGTGCAGCAGTAACAGCGACACCTGCTGCTCCTCAGAGCTCTGTTTCCACACTCACCCTTCAGCAGAGCAGGCAGGTCCTCAAGGTTCTGGAGGAGGCCTTCTCTGCTGTGATTTACTACCTGCAGCAGGTGAGACGACCACGACCCAGTGTTTGTTCCTCATCCTGTTGGAATGTTGTTTTAACAAAAGTAATCATTCACCTGTAGGCACTGACAAGATGGCACTGTGTATGAATGGAAACAATTATTAGCTGTAACTCTTTGACTGTTTCTGGTTTGACTGTTTACTTTCAATCCTCTACTGTACTTGTATATTTTTATTGTATTTTCTTACCAACTGCCTGTGCATACTCTCCAGGTTGATCCAAGTCGATATGGTGACCCCTTTGTTTTCGCCACATTCCGCGTTCTGTGCTCATGGCTGGCTGAGGAGACTTCCTGTCTGAAGGAGGAAGTAACTGGACTGCTTCCCTTCCTTATTGGCTACAGCCGGAGTCACTTCCAGCAAGAGAACCTGGGGCAGAACCTCTCCGACTGGATGACTGGATTATCCGTCTCTGAGGAGACAGCAGGCTGGACAGGCAGAGAACCTCTCAGGTAGAAGGAGGAAAAAGTAAAATGTGTTAAAAGAATAATTCAAATTCTCTAGTATTCATGAAAACACATTCTGCCTTTACAGGTATCTCCTTCCAGCTCTGTGTCACCTGTCTGCAGAGGAAGCTCCCAGGAAGGTGCTGCTGACCCTGGACACTCCAGCACTGCTGGTCAACTTCCTGTCTCAGTGTTGGACCTCACTACGTGGAAAAGGTGGAGTTGTGTATGGCAGGGATCCCAGCATGGAGACAGCCTGTTCAGCCCTTCTCAACTTCACTGTTACAGAGCCGGAGAGAGTCAAGTATGTTGACAGTAAACTCTGGAGTGTGACATAATTAAAGTATAATTGAATTTTATCACAATATTCAACTTGTTTCCTCTGTTTAAAGGAAGGATCCATGTTTCAAAACACTAGAGGTTTTCCTTGGTGAAGCACTTCCGGTTTTGGTGCACAAGCCCCGCCTCCTGGTCCTAGCAGCCAACTTCTGCACATTGGGACTAATGATGGGCAGACTCAGATCAGCTCCTGCAGGTGAGAGTGGTTTTTGTTTAGTTACAAAAACAAATCACAAACCTGTTAAAGTTAAGGGACATTAAGTTTTAACATTACATGATGTTTTGTGTGTTTTCTGAAGGATTGTCTGAATCAGGCCAAAGGCGTTTCTTCTCCACTGCTCTTCGCTTCCTCCGTGGAGCCCTGGACTTAGGCTCCAGCTCCGGGCCTGCGAAAGTGAGCGTCAGCTGGGAGGAGAGCTGGGATGATGCTGCAGAGCTCTGGAGGCTGAGTCTTCAGGCTCTGGGTGGCTGCGTCCAAGCTCAGCCCTGGATCATCGCACTGGTCAGAGAGGAGGGCTGGCTCAAACACACGCTGTCCATGCTGAGCCAGTGCAGTGCACTACCTGACCAGCACACACAGGAGGCGCTGGAGGAGGCCGTGCGTGCTGTGGCGGAGCAGTGTGAAGTCTGTAGACAGGAGATTAAGGACATGATGATGACACATGATAAAGGAGCGTTGACCTGCATGAAGAACCTGAAGAAGTCGGTGGGAGTGAAGTGAAAACAGGAGTGGACTGAAAAATATTTTTAATAAATCCAGTCTATGAAAATAAAGAAGCACAACTGTTAAATAGTTTTGGGTGATTGTTTCTTTTTTACTATTTGCGTGACTTGGCTTAAATTAGAATACATCAGTGGAACAAGTCTACATCCAAATCACAAGCACAAGAAATCACCTACATTATAGTTCTGTACAGTGTTACACAAATGTTTTTGATGTGTAAAGTTATCCGACACTAGGGGTCGCCAACCCGATGCTTCCGTGCCACATGTAGCATTTAAGCCTCTTTGCAATGGCTCCCCTCCACGCTGATTGGGTAAATTTCTGTTGCTATGCGTATATCTCATGTCAGCAACAGGTCAGTAATTGGCTGCGCTGCCGGACTGATTTGGCTCCGTTTCTAGCCGAAAGCTATTTCTCACAAATATGATTTATATATGACAAAATATTGTTTATATTTTATATACGACATGTTATGGTTCCTTTAAAAACACACTCATATTAAAAACAAGTGATTATAGTTTATTTTATTTTCGTTTTAACACATGTAGCCGTAAGAACGCCATAACTGAAGCAACAAACTCACGAGCCACAATTCAACCACAGCTGCGACATAAAATACATCAACATACTACAATTACACTGTTATTAAAAAACGAATTTTACTCACCAAAACGTCCAATTAGTTATACATAAACTCCGTCCTCCTCGTTCTCCTTAAGAAGAGTTCAATTACTATGTTGAGTTGCAGTTCTAACGGCATCCATGTTAGAGTTAAAGTCGCGTTTCCTCGGTTGTATTTATGATATAACTTTTAAATCGCCTCGTGCTGAGTTTGTCCACTCGACAGAAGCAGCGGACATGGAGAAAGCTTAACTTTTAAGCGTACAAGTTGCTACATGTAGTTTGCTAGATTCAAGACTGTATGTTCGTTGGCCATCCATCCAATCAAATCACTCGAATCACCGTAACTGAGGCTCAACTAGAAGGCCATGTTTGGTGCTAACTCAAAATCTGATTGGTTAAAGAAACAACGTCAGGTGCCATTCATTTTAGGCTCATCAGCGCACTGATGATTCTAAAGGCCTTATGACAGATTTCTTTCAACCTGGCAACCCATGAGGCTGAAATATGATGCTCGAGTATATATGACAGTATTGTTATTAATATAATGAATTATTATTAAAAAAATAATTTCTAATCAGGCAAAGTTACAGTCAGTATACACCGGACGGCTGTAGTTTAAGAGAAAAGGCGGTCTAATTTCGTCAGCAGTGACAATGCTCAAATACTGCCAGCAGATGGCAAAGTTGGACCTAATGTGTGATGAAGTTCATGTTACTTTCCGTGGTAACATTTTCTGCTCAATGGCCCTTTACTTTAATCACACCTACAAATGTAATTTAAAGAAATACATTTTTAAAAATATATTTATTATAATTCGGTTAAATTATTTCAATAAAACTAGAAGAATTTGAGTTTTATCTGTAAACAAGAACGTCTTTATGTGAATCAGAAAATACTGCAGTAAATTACATTTATAATATGTATGTAATACGCTTCAATGTGAAATTGTGGATCATATAAAGCATTAAAAGCGGTAAGTTATATTGGTCTGTCTGAATAATGTTTATAATATTAAGAATATCGTGGTCTTGTTCATGTCCCTGATCGTTTCCCTTGTTTTCATCACCTGCCAGACATGTTTGGTTTTGTTTTGTTTTTCTTATTCAGCTCTTCTTTTATTCCGTGTACAACCGTGAAGGAAGTTTGTCAGGCTTCTCCCCCCACCTCGACTTCTGTCACCTCCCGCCCTCCTTTTTCCTTTCATTTGAACCCCCCTCTCTCTCCCTCCCTCCCATTGACACCCGTCTCCTTTCACTGCGAGACTCATCCATAAAAACTCCTGCAGCGTCTCCAACCAAACTCACTCCTCTGCTGCACCTCCATCCATCCAAGCATCCATCCATTAACCACCAACAGCTGAAGGTTCAGACCAGACCCTGAGCATCTCCAGCACCAGCCCGATTTGCACCATGCTGTGGAAATCCAGAACCAAGACCGATGTTCTGCAGGTAAAACAAAAGGAAGAAAAAAGGCAGCGCACTTAAAAATGTCTTAAGTTATTTTTATCATCAGGGATTCAAAATTTTAAAAAAAATTAGGAAAAAATAAAATATGAACTTGATTATATTTGAATGTTTTAATGCTTCAAAATGGCTTTAGTTTGTAGAAAATTTAAAAAATCCAAACGCAAAATCTGTAGATTTCCGTGCGTAAAACCGACTTTAATTATATTTTTTACAACTTGAAAATACAAAATATAAAAATATACTTCCTAGGAAAAGGAAATTGTAAAGGAATGATGTAAAACTTTAGGTTTTTTTTAGCATAACTGGTGCGTAAAAGCTGCGTAAAATCTTTAAAAATGAATCTCAGTATCTCTTTAAGAGATGAAGTCCCGTCGACCCCTCCCCTCGTTTTGTCGGCTGCGCGCAAAAACCTATAAGTAGTGCGCTGATGGTGAGCCGACAGGACTCAGTGTGTGTGTGAGTGAGTGTGTGTGTGCGCGTATTTGGCATCAGCAGCTGCAGCAGCAACAGTGGAGTCTTCTACAGTCACCGGTGCTCAGAGAAGTCAACATCCGGGGCGAGGAACGTTTCTGACCGGGGTTTCATGTCCGAGGGAACCCTTAAAGTCTCTGGATATTTTTGTTTTCAATAATTCCACATCTCCACTGACCGGAAATCTGCGCAGCATCCTGTTGACTTTTGAATCTGGGATTCATCCAGGGTGGTCCAGATGTTAATCCACACCTACTCGGCTATGGTGAGTTTGATGGAGAGTTTCCCGTGGATTTTATTTAAGGCTAGATCTTAGTTTTGAGGCTGCGCAACAGAATAAACAGAAAAACTTAAATTGAACTCATAAAACTTAAAAAAAATGAAGATAAATAATAAAATACATTTACGACGATATTCCGACGATTATGGAAAGAATCAAGTCTTCAGACTTTACTGATGTTTAAAAGTATTTTCCCCCGGGGTCGTGATGGTCTGATGGTCTGACTTTACTGATGCACTGTCGCGTAATTGTCCGCAAATATAATCTTTGTCTGCGCACTGTCTTTACGCACGAGCGGTGCCAAACGCGCGGCAGTCCTGGCACCGGAGGACGAAGACACTTTGTGTTTGTGAGACAAATGGACACTAGTTGTGTGAGTGTCAGTGGTCCGCGTGCGCGCGCGCGCGCGTGATGGTTGATGTGTGTGTTAATGGCCAGTGTTCCATCGCAGCAGCATTGATTTGTGGTGACCCAGCTTCTACACCGAGCCCAGAGTGACCAGGATCTTTAAACACACTCAGCTGCACCGGAAACACAAATAGATTTGTATTTAAAATACTGTCGCCCATTCAGGACCTTTTTGGTTATAAATATTGACACGCTAGGACCTTTTTGAGGTTTGAAAAAAAGTAATACAAAAGTTCAGGTGAATAAATATGTTACAGATTGAATTAAGGTTGCAATGTGGTCAACAATTGTATTATTTATTTTATTTATTTATGCAGGAATTAATCTTGACCAGATGATAAACCGTCTTAACAAGTGCGTCCAGACCGGGTTCCTTATATTTAGGCCGTTCTGCAGGATATAAACTTCTGATTGAAGAGTTTGTTTCCCGGGTGACGTTAGAGGTAGACTGTCTTAACAAGTGCGTCCAGACCGGGTTCCTTATATTTAGGCCGTTCTGCAGGATATAAACTTCTGATTGAAGAGTTTGTTTCCCGGGTGACGTTAGAGGTAGACTCTCCTGTGTCCTGTGTCCTGTGTCCTGTGTCCTGTCTCCTGTGTCCTGTGTCCTGTCTCCTGTGTCCTGTGTCCCCCTGCTGTTCAGAGGACACCTGACCTGTCCTCTGAGCAGCAGCATCTCTGTGACACTCAGTTCGCATCAGTTTTAAACTGAGTTCCAGAAACATCCAAACACATTTGTGATTGAAGTGATTAGTGATTGTTAAATATAATTTTTGTTTCTAATGTAAACATTTTTTAACGTAGGATCAGTCAAAGGTAAACTGTGCAGAAAGTTCGTTTACTTTGAATGGGTTTAAATGGGTAAATATTTATTTTTATTATTTTTAAATTTATTATTTATTATGATGATGTTCTTTACACATGGACACAAATTCATAGGTAAAATATATGTTATACCAGCCTAAATATATCAGCTGTAATCATTCTCTGGGTTAATGACAGGACAACAGTCCGGCCTTTGTCTGCAGAAAACTGAGAAATATTTTCATAAATGTACAATAAAAAACTTTATACATTAGGATTAATTAGGAAAATATATAATTATTCTAAGGTAAAAGACGGAACGTGGTTAAAATAATAAAAAAAGGAAATAAGTCAAAACGCTGACGTTAATGTGAAAATTCAGATTTTTTTTTTCAACCTCAGAATGTGATTTTAACTTCACGTTTTCTGCTTTTATTCTCAAGTTTCTTTCTACTTTGACTTCCAGAATCCTCTTAACGACACTCAGCTTTCCCAGCAGTTCGACCGCGGCGTCCGCTCATCTTTTGGGAATAACGTCTTAATGGAAACTCTCTCCTGGTTTTCCCTGCAGGACCGCACAGACGGACTCAGCGGCTCCTCTCCCAGCGGCCGCCTCTCTCAGCTCTCCTCCCTGAACCAGGCCGCCTACTCCTCGGCCCCGCCGCTCTGCCACACCCCGGCCTCAGACTTCCAGCCTCCGTACTTCCCTCCTCCGTATCCTCAGTCATCCTTGTCCTATTCCCAGAGCCAGGAATCCGCCTACTCCCACCTGTCGGACCCCTACCCATCCATCAACTCCATCCACCAGCACCAGCAGGCGGCGTGGCACTCGCAGAGGACGCGCTCGGAGGAGAGCGGCCTGCTGTCACAGTCTCACCGGGCTCTGAGCCTCGATCCCCGGCGGGAGTACCCAGCTGTACCCCGGTTGCTGCACGGGCTCGGGGAGGGAGCAGCGGCTCTGGGGGACGGTCCTCTGGGGATGCACCTGGGACACCACGGCCTGGAGGACCTCCAGGTAACTGCACTTTAGAGTTCTCTTTTATTTCTTTGATCATTCTTTTTATTTAAAACATTTAAAGTCATTGGTCACATGACCCAAACCCACAGAGAACGAATAAACAGTTTTACCCACATCGAGTTATTTATTTAAAATATATTTTTTTTAAAGTGTTTGAAGAGTTTGTCACGTGAGAAGAACAAAGGCCGGAAGTTTTTTCGTTTTTTTATTCATGTATTCATTATTCATTCATTTTATTTCATTCAAAACTCCAGTGACACAATAATAATATTAATAATAATAATAATAATCAACGTTTTATTATTGAGCTCATTTAAAGCAGCAGCTTCAGGCCTTGAGGTGAATTCAAATATCTTCAAAACTGCCCTGAAATGTCGTCACTTCTTATCGGTATAAAATTATTTTCTTTTATTTTACTCGGAATAAAAATATTGTAAATCTACAGTTAGAGTTGACTGTTTTATTCCACGTGATCAGTCATTTACAGGGTGTTTATAATGAATTGTTAGAACAGAGAACGAATTTAACAAAACACCAAATCGATGACAGAACATTTGAAATGTCGTTTCATATTGAGAAAAATAAAATAATAATGAAAAGACATGAAAGGAGACTCAAAGAGTAATAAAATATGCAGATTAAAAAATATTAAAAAACGAAGTGAACAAAACAATTTAATGTCGGGTTTTACAAAAGTGAAAAAAAATTATAAAACTTCATAATTATTTGCCGCGGAAAAATTATTTTCACTTGAACCATTAAAATAAATTAAGTGAAAAATATTTCCAGTTTGTTTTCAATCGCAGTTTAAATATGATTTTTGCAGCCACAGAGAAGGAACTCACGGAGACAAAGTGATTTTTTTTCTTCTCTTTTCTTTTAAAGAATAACAGTTTGTTGAGAAACAGCAGCAGGTGCAGCTGCAGACACACACACACACACACACACACACACCGTGTCTAATGGATGTGTATGGTCATTAATGGAAAAGAAAAGGTGTGAGAATCACACACACACACACACACACACACACACACAGAGTGTGTGAACATGTCAGTGTTAAACGCTGTCACTGACTCAGACTTTCATTGGATTCATGGATTAATGGATTCAATCCTGGATGAAGATGAAGATGAAGATGAAGGAACATTATATCGTTTGATTTCTTTTGATAGAAAAAAACATATTTTTTATGGCCTTAAATGTATTTCCCAGGTATTTGAAGTTCTCCATGTATTGTTGTACACGGCGGTACTACAGTACAAAGTCACTTCATGACAATAAAACTACTAGTATTGTGTAGAAATGCCAACATATATAAATATATTCGTCACTACAGTAAATATATACAACAACATATGGAACACATTTACTTATATATTTGGTTTGAAATGATTTTTTTTTCTTTTTTTTTAACTGACATGAAGTTTGTTCAGATCATCGCTCTGAGTGATCGACCTTCAGTCTCACTGTTTTTTTTTCGAAGGAGAGAGAGAGAGAGAGAGAGAGTGTGTGTGTGTGTGATAAATCTTAGTGACGGTCTGTGTGTCTGTCTCTCTGACACAGGGGATGGAGGAAGGATCGGCCTTGGGCATCCTGGACCACTCTGTCATTAAAAAAGGTAAGATGACAGAGAGAGAGAGAGAGAGAGAGAGAGAGAGAGAGAGAGAGAGGGAGACTTTGTGTTGCACCCAGTATATAATTGTGCTCTATATGTACTGAGGGTTTTTTGTGTTTAGGGCCACCAGTTACACACACACACACACACACACACACACACAGAGTATAAATAATTCTGTTTTTCTATTTCATTTGAAGTAGAGGAGTCCTCTCTAACACTCAGCTGCAGACTCCAGCCCAAAGGCACACATTCTTAATGAACTGTTCATGGTCATATGAGAGAGAGCGGCTGCTCTGTGTGTGTGTGTGTGTGTGTGTGTGTGTGTGAGGGATTAGAGAGGAGAGATGGAAGTGGGGCAGGGCATTAGAAAGGAGGGGAAGATGATGAAAGAGGAGTTGTGTGCAAATTCTGCGGCGTCTGAATGAGTGTAAAATCAAACAGAGGGGAGCGGCAGAAGAAGACACCCAGAAAAGCCCCGGTGCAGTCAGACGGTGGGGCAGTTTCAACCCCCACAATAGCCTCACGTCGACGGCCTGGTTGGACTGAGAGACTGAGAGGAAACTCAGACTGAAGAATGTTCCAGAACTCTCTTGTCTTTTTTTCATCCACTCATGAACAAACTGACAAACATTCCCTGCTCTACCACAACTTAGAATCCATCATTTTCACACCATTTCACATGTGTTTTTGCAGTAAAGAGGGTGAAATTCTCCAAATCAGTTCCCGGCAGCGTGAGCTCTGACTGAGTTTTCTTTTCTTTTTTTTTTGTCCTTTTGCCTTTTGCCAAACCTCAGGGATTTGACATGTTTGACAAACTGAAATTGATCAAGAGACGGGCGTCGAACCCGAGAGCGCTCATGAATAAGAGAGGCAGAGCGAGAGACGGAAAAGAGACGGAGAGAAAAGTGAAAAGGCAGCGTAAAGAGACGGAGGGAGGAGAAGAAGTGGCAGAAAGATGACACAAAAGAGAGAGAGAGGGAGAGAGATGGTGAGAGAGGGGGTGAGAGAGAGGGAGAAAGTGGCTTCCCTTATTCTCCACTTTTGTGCTTTGCCTGTAAAGCTGTGGCTCGAGGACCAAATGTAGCCTGTGAGCTGACTTTTTATGGTCACTATTATTATTTTTTCTATTGTTTCTAATAATATCTCTATCATTTGTAGTTTCACGGCAGATTTTACCATTGATGCGTCTTTTGGCTAAACTTTAGCAGCTAATGAGCTAATTTTTAAAACAGTGGAGAACTTGAATCAAAACTTTTTGGTTTCAGCAGTTTTTCACGTGTGAGTTTTGAGCCGTCGAACAAATATCCACAGACGTCAGCGTGGAAAGTTCAGCACAGTGCAGTGAAGTGACAATTGATGCTGGTGGAGGTGTGAAGTGAAGCTATTTGAAAATGCACAACTGTAATGAGGAAGAAAAAAAAGCTGCAATTTTTTAGGCAACAGAATCAACAAGCAGCGCTCCAGATTTAGAGCTGACGATGCCGCGGAGAACATTACACTGAATATAGATTAATCAGAGGAGGAGGAGGAGGAGGAGGAGGAGGAGGAAGAGGAGGAGGAGGTCACACCAACAGTCACACAACCCTATTGTCACTGCACATGACATATGTTTAGGACCAGGGATCTTTATTCAGAGTTCACATCTTTGATTTGTCGCTTCTTGGTGTTAAACTCAGGAAAATCATGCACAAAAATGTTAAACAGCTAAAGATGTAGCTTCAAGGTAAACAGGTGATGATTCTTGGTTTTCAGTTGGTTAATGGAAAAAGATTCCAAAAACAAAGTCCAGAAAGAGTCAAAAAAGTGACAATTTCACCAGAAGTAAGGGCAAAAATGCTATCAAGAGTTAGCATAAATAGCTATAATACGATATAATAAACACTTAACAGTCAAAAATATGCAAAAGCAGCTTTAAATAAAAAAAACATATAGCTAAATGTTAGCCCAGCGTTTGCTAAAAGTTAGCCCGACGTCTCCCTCTGGTCTTCACTGAACCTCCCAGCTCCTCCTCCATTTATTAAACACAGTCTGTGGGGTTTGTTTTCTGTCCTCAGTTCCTATCCCGTCAAAGCTGAACGGCTCGTCCCTCTCCGTCCTGTCCCTCAGTAAAGACGGTCTGGGCATGGGCTCGGTGTCCAACCCCGCCGAGGTCTTCTGTTCTGTCCCCGGTCGTCTCTCTCTGCTCAGCTCCACCTCCAAGTACAAGGTGACGGTCGGGGAGGTGCAGCGACGGCTGTCTCCACCTGAGTGCCTCAACGCTTCCCTGCTGGGCGGAGTTCTGCGCAGGTGAGCGGCCAATCGCACGAGTCGTCACAAAATCAGATTAATACTCAGTTCCCTCATCAGTGGTGTGTTAGAGATGAAAGTTAATTCACCAGAAAAACACGACAGTGATAAGAAGAAATCATACAGGAAACAGTCATCCTCACACACACACACACACATGAACTATGTCCTAAGTCCGAAAACCCCTCTCCCTCCCCCCCTCCTCTCTCCCCCCTCTCACCACCCCCCCCCTCCCATGCCTGGGCCTCAGGGCTAAGTCAAAGAATGGTGGCCGCTGTCTGAGAGAGCGTCTGGAGAAGATTGGCCTCAACCTGCCCGCAGGCCGACGCAAGGCAGCCAACGTCACTCTGCTCACATCTCTGGTGGAGGGTAGGAACACAAACAAACACACACACTCACACACACACACACACACACAGTGACCTGCATGTCTCCTGACAGACACATATTCACACTGGAACACACTGGAATCAGTCATGTGTGTGTGTGTGTGTGTGTGTGTGTGAGCAGCGGACGTGAGAAAGCGTGGTCTCCAGTTCTGATCTGCTCCGACTCCAACCTCAACATTTAATCCCGTTTTCATGGACAATTACTTTGATGCTATTTATTTAAAAACCACACACACACACACACCAGCCGACCCTGACAAAACACACACACACGAAGAACAGTTGATATTAGACAGAGAAAATAAAACACAACAAACACGACTGGACTAAAAATGAATAAAAGTCACAGAGAAAATCAACATTTGGCCGATGATGTCATGGTCTCTGTTACTAATTTCTTGTTGTCTTTAATTAATAATTACACTTTCAATATTAGGGAATACATCAACCAACTAAGATGAGAATTTTAAAAGTTCAATTTATTTAGGTTGAGATGATCATCTGATGTGGGTCATAATCATAGATCGTATATATAATGTTGGACAAAACAACGTAACCATGTGGACGAGACCACGTAAAATACTAACAATGTGAGGCTTCGTCACTGGTGGAGAACTTTTGGTGATTTTCTATGACTTCACTCTGCAACCAGAGGCTGCAAAAGAGGAGGCTCTGCCCGTAGGATATAAACAGTCTACGCTGTTTTACTGGACGACGACTGAGAGACTGTCCCTATGATTCAAACTGTGGAGCTGATTTAGAAGATCTAACTGTGAAATGTGGTTTCTGTTGTGGACAGGTGAGGCCGTCCATCTGGCGCGGGACTTTGGTTACGTTTGTGAGACGGAGTTTCCGGCCAGAGCCACGGCCGAGTATCTGTGCAGGCAGAGTGAACCCGAGCAGCTGCCCACGCGACGCAGCATGTTGATCGCCACCAAGTGAGTGAGACCCTCGTCTCCACCCGTCGATTTGAAAATGTTTTTGTCACTGTTGGAACTCACTCGTCTGAACGACTCCTTCCTCTTGTTTCTTCCAGGGAGATCTGTAAGGAGTTTGTGGACCTCATGTCCCAGGACCGCTCCCCTCTGGGCGGCAGTCGACCCACCCCGTGTCTGGAGCCCGGCGTGCAGGGAAGCCTCACCCACTTCAGCCTCCTCACCCACGGTTTCGGAGGCCCCGCCATCTGCGCCGCGCTCTCGGCCTTCCAGAGCTACCTGATGGAGGCCATCAAAATGCTGGACAAGGGGGAAGGTGGAGGCAAGGGCCACCACGACAAGGAGATGAAGCATCGCAAATAGAAGAGGAGGAGGAAGAGGAGGAGGAAGAGGAGGACAGACGCATCAATGGGAGGCAAAGAAGGGGGGAGATAAAAGAACAAACTGAACCTCCCTCTGAACCTTTACCTTCGCCTTCAGGATGATTAAAAAAAAACAAAAAAAACTTTTACCTCCCAGAAAAACCTTCTGTGGGTTCTAGGATCATGGAGGCGGGGCTTAATGATGATGATGATGATGATGATGATGATGATGATGATGATGATGATGATGATGATGATGATGATATCTGTACTGTAATATTTGTGCACACTCCACAAACCACCTCACTCAGACACCGACCGACGCGTCTTCTCCGTAGCTACGTTGTGTCGACAGAAACCTGCTCCTCCATGTGGCAGCGTGATTTTTATATATTTATTTATGTTTTGGGTTTTTTTTGTTTGGTTTTTTTATTTCATTCAACACACATGGACCCAAACACAGACAAACCTTTAGTTCCATTCATAATTATTCATTAAAGGAAAGCAATGGAAGCCATATCAGAGAGAGAGAGAGAGAGGGAGAGAGACCACTGAAGTAGACAGGAAGTAGACAGGAAGTAGACAGGAAACAGGTCCCGACTGTAGAGAGCAGGAGAAATGACTTGACCTCTGATTAAAAGTCAAAGTTGAAGATGAAGCGTGGGAGTGGAGCAGGTTTTTGGACAGAGCGTGGAGTGAGTTTTATTTTGAAGGGCCGAGCGTCGCTTCACGTCCACGATCATTGATGGTGACGTCATCGGTCACTTCACCTCCAAACTGCTCCGTCTCCGTCGATGTTCCTCTCATCTGGTCACCGTGAACATTTCGTTGTGTAGTTAATGGCAGTGGGTGGTCATGGGAAATGGAGTTCTCTGGATCCTCTGGCAGTTAACGGCAGCTAATGGAGATTTATTGGACTTATTTTATATTATTTTATTTTTAAAATACGACGTGTTGGTAAATTATGAAAAGAAGACAGAAATCATTTTGTACCTTTTGTGTCTAATTATTATTATTAATGTTTTACTGTTATTATTATTGTGTTATGACATAAATGTAATATATTATTAAAGAATTGAAACGTGATCTGTTTACATTCATTCTTAACAGTGTATGCAGGTAATATCATTTTATGGATCATTTATTATTATTATTTATCTAATTGTATTGATTTAATGTGATAATTATTTAATATAATGATTTATTGATCCAGCTCCTGCGTTTCTCTGTCACATTAATAACATTTTCATTGATTTCTGCAGCTGCGGTCGAGTCAACAGGAAGGTCATGAACCTGAACTGAGGCTAACACTTCATTTCATTATTGATTAATCAATTATTTGCCAGTTTGACTCATCAAAATGGTCACTGTTTAAAAATTTAAAAAACTATCAATTATTTGCCAGTTTGACTCATCAAACTGATCACTGTTTAAAAAATTAAAAAAAAAGATCCCAGTATAAAAAAGCAACACAAATACTAAACAAAATACAAAAAAAACATACGTCTAAAGGAAAGCGGCGTAAAAGTGGTATTGAAAAGTTAGCCAGTAAATAGTGACTGTGTAACCCAGAGAGATCAGATGTCAAAGGACCAGGAAGAACACCAGAGCTGCTGCTGGTTGGTACAGGAGCTCAGGGAGATGGAACCATCTCAGAACATCTTGGCTCTGAGAGGAGGAGCAGAGGAGCAGCCCTGAGCAGCAGACACACCTCCCTGCTCCCTCCAACACCTGCTCAGAACAGCCCTCCACTCTCCTCCACTCTCCTCCACGCTGCAGCTCACGCTCACACACGCCTCGTGTACGTGTTTAGCCCTGGTTTTCTACCTGCCTTATCTCCTCCTCACCCCCCTCCCTCTCATTACCCTCCTGTGTGGATCCCTCCTCCTCCCTGTGACACTCAGCAGGGCTGATCTCCATCTCGGTGTGAGGGCCTGCAGGCAAACATATGCTGCTCTTCCCCTCAGATTCCTCTGTGTTTGAGAGGAGACGAGGGGAGAGAAAGGGGGGGAGAGAGGAGGGATTGTTTAATGTTTATTAATCACCTGTCTATCTGTCTGTCTATCTGTCTGTCTGTATGTGCTGTAGACACACACACACACACACATATATATAGTCAGCTAATGCTTTCAACATGTATTTAAATAGAAGATCACATTTATATATATTTAATGCTACTATTTTTATATTAGCTTCTGCTCACTAGCTAACAATATATAGATATACATATGAATTATATACATAAATATGTGTACATATATACATACATATACATGTAAACATATATCTACATACAGAAATATACATATATACAATATTTATATGCATATATATGTATATTAATAAGCAGTTAGTTGCTAAAAATATTAGCAATAGGATTTATCTAGTAATTTCTTTACAATATAGTCAGCTAATGCTTTCAACATGTCTGTATTTAAATAGAAGCTAAACTTGTTATATATTTCACATTTATATTATATGTTTAATGCTACTATTTTTACATTAGCTTCTGCTCACTAACAACATATATCTAGTCATATCTAGTAATTTCTTTACATTACTGTAGTAAGTCTTAGTATACTGATGATATACCAAGAGTTACTACAGTACTGCTTGGGTTCATTGATTCGACACAGATAATACTGTGATAATAACCTGGTCTTCACAGCCAACACCAACACATCACCAGTTTTCTATCCTGGGAGGTCACGACCTTTACCTGACCTTTCGTTACTGTTGCCCTGTGGATATGAAACGCTGAGACGTAGGTTTGACCAGAGCGTAATGTACAATAAAAACAACAACGATCTGTGCTAGCTGCACACGGCTACACAGTTCAGCTTCTAAATAAGTTATTTTTAGCTCATATGCTAACACCGTAGCATGACATACAGTACGTGTCTAGTGAACATCTTTCAGTAGTGGTGCAGGAGAGAGTGTATTTCTGACTGTGGACCAGCGTCCACGTCCAGAGACTGTTCTTTCTCTTCTGTCTCTCTGTCCGTGTGCAGACGAAGAGACAAAAGAGAAAATGTATTAAAAAAAAAAAAAAAAACCACCAGAGGGACAGAGAGCCTGAATCGACTGTGTCACTTTTTATTGGAGGAGAAAGCGGGAGGAGGTCAACAGTACAAAAAAAAAAATGGTGGTTAGAAGGCGAGCAGGGAGAGGGGTCACTTGTTGCCCACAGAGATCTTCTCCAGGTCATGGACGCCGTCCTTGTCAATCAGACGGACGGAGAATGACGGGAGGTTGAGGATGAAGCGTCTGTTCAGCTGCAGGAGGACGGAGGAGAAGGAGAAAAGGTTGGAACTTTTTCAGTTTCAGAGCTCTCAGATGTTAAAATAAAATTAAAAAAAATAAAATCAGAACTCACTTCCTCCACGCACTTCTTCAGCAGATCAACTGCCTCGTCTCTGGTCAGGTCTGAAACGATTCAAGAAGGAAATGAGGTCAAAACAAGCAGCGGTCGGCAGTCGGACCCCGAACACTTCCACACAGACGGGACCTGACCTGGTCTGTAGTAGCGATCCAGGATAGACAGAGTGAGAAAAGCTCCGTAGCCGTGGGCAGCGAAGGGGGTCTTGGCCAGAGAGGCCAGGTAGTCCATGTAGAAGAGGCCCGGACCATCGGTGTCATCGTAGCCCGCCAGCAGCAGGTTCACGTGGTACGGCGTCTGGAGACGAGAGAGAGAGGAAGAGAAAGAAATATTTTTCTCAGTTATTTAGAAGGAAAACTTTATATAGTTTATATTGAATCTAAATATACTTGATGACCAATAACTGAATATGAATTAAATTATTTAATTTAATTAACAACAAATATTAAAGACTACATCATATTTATTGCTCAGTTATGACTAAACTAATTAATAGTTTGTAACCGGAGGTAAGTATTTAGCCATTTCTCTTCCACGATTCATATTTTTTGTCTAACCTGTGGTGAAATGTCTCTTTTGGTTCATTCTTATCCAAAGGTCAAGTTCAGAAAGTTTAAAACAGTTTCAGGGAAAGTTTCATTTCGACACCTGAACTTTTCAGTTTGAGAACTGTGTCGGCAGCAGCCTGACGTTCTACCAAAGCAGCTGGATACACCAACACCAGGAAGCAGAACCTTTACCTCCTCAATTAGAGGCGCTAACATTTAGCATAACGATCCATACAAAGGTGTCACACAGTGAAAGTCAAACCCATTTAGCTGCTCTGTATGAAGGAGGCCTCGTCACCGAGGAGCAGAGAATCTCACCGCTCCAACCTGAAAAGTACAACTTCTCAACCCCCCCCCCAATAAACCGCTCCTCATTATCAACGTTGCCTTCAGAGCTCTGCACAGACGAGGCAACGTTAGCAACACAGAGGGAGACGACAGCAGAGGAGGAGGGGGGAGAGGAGGAAGAGGGGGATGGAGAAAAGGTGAAGGGGTGAGACAGGACAGAGGAGGTGAGGTGTGTGTTTGGGAGCAGGAAGGTGTCAGTGGCTGTGTGACATCTGCTGGGAGTCAGCAGCCCCGTCACTGCCTCCACCACCCTCCACCCTCCACCCTCGTCCCTTCTTTCACTCCTCCTCACCCTCTTTGCCCTCCCTCCTTCACCCCCCTATCTTCCCTTTGCCTATCCTCCGTCTTCACCCCGTGCCCTGGAGTGGTGCCAGGGCTCATTAAAAACTTCTGAAGTCCTTTTTTTTCCCCTTCCTTTCTCTGTCTTGCCCCAACAACCTTCCTCCTTCCCCCCTCCTCCTCCTCCTCCTCCTCTTCTTCTTCTTAAATCCCGTCTTTGAGCTTCCAGCCTCCGTCTCTGCTCTTCCCCAAAAAACATTAATTCTCTATTTTCAAAGCATCTAGTGGCCCAAATTCTTTCCAGACATACTCTGAAGAGCAGGGAAACTTTTTCCTCAAAATCCACCGTCAAATGACAAACTGACTCATAGTCGTTTACAGACGACAATATAAACCTGTTATAACCAGAGCCTCAAACTATGGGTCTGAAGAGGACGGGCCTCGATATCGGACGGTTGCACCTAAGGATACACCGACGCGCCGTGAATCGGTAACGAAGAGGACGGGCCTCGATATCGGACGGTCGCACATAGGGATACACCGACCACCGTGAATCGGTTACAAATGCATCGACAATTTGCAACGTTTAAATTAAGAATGAATCGAGTTGTCGGTGGTCATACCATGAGAGTACACACTCTAGTACAGTAGGTGGCGATATGGGCCTAAAAACTCTGGCTGTGACCCGCTATTAAACCAAGACGTCAGGAGCCTACGTGACGTTCAGGTGTTCACAGAGAACGTGGGACGAACTTGTTCCACAGACACAGACAGGGTTTTAAAGGGTTAATTAACTTTTTCTACTTTATATATTTTTGATATTCTTTTGTCGTTTAATATATTGACAGTTAGAGGTAAATAAGACCAGACTGTGTGTGTGAGTGTGTGTGTTCAGGGCCATGCTTGCCACTAGGGTAATTGTGATTGTTATTCTCCCTGGGGAACAGGCTTCAGCATATGTATGGGTGTGTGTTAGCGACAGTTTGAACACACACACACACACACCAACACACAGGAGTCAGAGAGAGTGTGTTTGTGAGTTTGCACGAGGGGTGTGAATATCTTATTTTGTGTGTGTGTGTGTGTGTGAGAGAGAGAGAGCTCAAACTCCTCGGTGAGATCTCGAACGCCCCAGTGGTGTCACCCCCTCCCACCACACACCTGCCTGACTGGTTACATTGTAGCAATAATACGGACTTGGCATCAAAATAACCTTCCCATGTCACCTCGGCGGGGAACCAGCAACCTTGTTAACCCCGCCACCTGAACTCACACTCACGTTCACATGCAAACAATGCAGAACCGCCGCGCGCTTCGAACCCCCTGCCGCGAGCCTCGCCCTCGGCCTAACAAGGCGCAACAAGGTTTGTGGTGGCGTACAGCGCCACCTTTGGTCGCAGAAGACACAGACCTGGAGCAGCTGCTACTGATGATGGAGTTCTCCCAGGGTTTGGGGAATGACTTTTCACTTTAATGAGAATTTAAATGTGCTGAAGCTGAGACATTCACTGAAGAAACACTACAATGGGTCGGTTTCACTTACTTGCTAACAGCAAACTAACAAACTAGCCTCTGTCTCTGCTCTTACGTTTGAACTGAGCTCAGAAAAGAAACAACAGCTCCATCTCCTGGTAAATATTCCAGCAGTCTGAGCTGTACAACAATTCATTTTTAGCTGATATTTAAACAGGTATTTGAACCAGTAGACTCCGCGCCGGACTCTGATTTTCCTAAATGACAGACGGTCTCTTTAGGGCGTGACATTCAAGACAAAGGCAGCAGTGACACAAATTAAAGTAATGTTGACGGCCAAAAGCCCCCCCCCAACACCCCTTCCCCAACAAACCCCCCTTGCCGACCCCCCTCCTCCAAATTATCTTCTTCCACGTTCCACTACTCACACTCTCCCCTTCCTTCCATCCCTCCTTCCTTCCTTCCTCCTGCCTCCCCCCCCCTCCACCCCAGGCATTTTTCCTCTTTATTGGCATTTCTCCCCAGTCTGCTGTATTAATGGTTCATCTGTGCAGGAGCAGACCAGGCACATACAATATGGTGCCACTAATTATTTGTGCCCAACGTGTGCACGTCTAATATTTCACCAACACAAACAGAGGCAGCTGTGGATCAGTGCAACTGTTGCACGTTTGGTCTGACTGGAACCATTTATAACGGTTCCACAACAGTCGTGTTCAGGACTCCATGTGGCTAACGTTTTGGCTAACATTTAGACTACAACTTGGCCGTTGTTAACCTATTTTGGGGCTTCAAATTATATTTAGCACATTAGTTTTTATACGTTTTTTTTTTAACCTTTTTTTCTCTAGTTTCTCAAACTCATCAAATGTATGATTGTAGCCAAATAAAGACCTTTACGCTTTTTCTTGCATTTGCCCAAAATACATTTATAAATGTTAGTGTGTATGTACATCATATATACACAACTATATCAGTGCAGAATAGGCTGCAAAATATAAACAACAGAATGAGAGCAGACGGGTTTTATTTTATTGCCCGCAGAACTTTGCTGTTTTGCTCAGCGGTGAATTTCACGTATCATTAACTATATGGACGCAGCAGAGTGGAGAGAAGGGAGGGGAGAGGGAGGGAGAGAGAGAGAAGGAGAGAGAGTATGTTTTCTTCTTTGTCTGCTCTCTAACCTCCAGAGGTTAGTGCTGTTGTTTATCTGTACCACGAACTCACTGCTAAGACCTGAGATGTATGTGAACATGAGCTGTTGACTTTTTTTTTCTTTCTTTCTCCTCCTAAGCTAACTGCAGCTCCTGGAGGTGCACAGCCACATGGGTAATTTCAGCTGTAATTCATCCTGCAGGAACAGGACCAGGGGTAGATTTATCAATCTGCCAATGATTAATTTATCAGTCAGTGGATTTTCAACCTGAGGGACTGGACGAGCACAGAGGCCGTGTCCAAGGTTTTGGGTTTTGGGAGGTTTAGGTAATGATTTAATGAGGAAGACAAACAAAAAAGTAATTTTTAATGAATGAAAAATAAACCCACTTCCCGAGATGTAAAAATAATAAGGCTGCACGCTCCTTTGTTTCAAACAACAAAGGAGTTCAGTCCTGAAGGGTCAGAAATCATCCATGCTCTACATAGCACACGATATGTGTGAAAAATTACAGGTGAACTGCAGCGCTTTAAGCTACTATAAGCTAATGGTTGGTGCGCTTCCCCAATTTAAACCATTTTTACTGCATTTTTTTAATAAAAACCTTTAGGGATTCTGGGTAAAACTAATTTATGCCAATTAGCAGATAATCATTAACAATAGTTTCTGTAGTGTTTGCAGAATAACCTTCAGTTGTCTTTGTCAACAACATTATATATATATACTCAAAATCAAAATTGTATTTTTGTCAACAACATTATATATATATACTGAAAACCAAATTTTTTAAATGAATCACAGTTACAAGAAAGCTAATTAATTACATTTCAACATGAAAGTGTTGCTTCTACCTTCTGATAACTTCTGTTACTGCCAAACACTTTGAAAAGGTGTTTTTTTTACTCCTAAATGGACAGTAGACATTAAATATTCTACAAACTCAGGAAGTTCTGGGGGTAAAAACCTGTTTACACAAAATCATTTGCAAACGTCCGTGTACTCTGGAGGTTGGAGAACCTGAGAGGAGCATCGCTGCAGGAAGGTGTGGGCTGCAGAGGAGAGAAACTGCTACTGCTACAGTTTCTCCCAACACTCCTGAGAACGTGGCTGCGGTGATTCCCGCACTTGTAAAACCAAATTCATCACCGTGAGGCACGAGAAAATAACGATGCAGCTACAACCGAGAACATGAATATGAATGTAGTTCTCCACCACGTACAGGGAGGAACCTTGACCGAATAACAATCGCAGCACCGATCCTGTAGGTCCCTGTGTGTGTGTGTGTGTGTGTGTGTGTGTGCAGGTGGGTGGTGTTTATTGACTCATGTCGTTCTCACACTACACTTGTTGTAGTGCGAGTCCACCGGGCCCTGTAGTTCTCCTGCGGGACGCTCACTCCCCTCATCCTCCTCCTCCTCCTCCTCCTCCTGCTGCTGCTCCTTCTCTATCCCCTGATCTGTGTGTCCCACATCCCCATCTCTGCCGCACTAATTGTTTTTTGTAATTATTTTCTCTCTCATGCTATTGTGACAGGCGGCGGCTGCACTACTCTGAACCAATTACTGCAACGGATGCAGTGAGCGGACTGGAGGCCGAGACGTGTGAAGCAGACTGTTGACGACATCACTGCACAGCAAAGAACAGAGAACCTCCACACCCCCACGACCTCACCCCCATTACAAAATATTGTAATGATAAATTCCCTTTATCAATTTAATGCAGCGCCATCAATAGGATTTTTCAATAGAACATTTCTATGTTGACCTTTTGCCCTCCGATTGCTAAACTTTTATCTGTTTGATGTGTTTTCTTTTACTAACTTTAAGCCCTGACATTAATGTATCTTAAGGTTAGAGTTTAACTACATATCAGGGAGATGTGTGTAGTCTGGGGGGAGGAGAGGGGAGTATCACTACTGCTGCTGCTGCTGCTGCTGCTGCAGACTCAGGTGCTGTTGTGAAGTCTCCGAGGGAGGAACCTTCGTCATGACTCACAACAAGTCGACAAATGTAACCTGTCTCTGTTGAAATGCATCTGCTGGTCTCAGATGAGACAAACACATGCAAACACACACACCTACACACTCGCAGGTGAGATCCGATTCCCACCTGAACCCGAGTCCGACACCGACTCCTGTTTAACTTTTATTACAGCGTCACACATTTGAGACAAACAAATCCTCTGTGGCTCTTTGTCTTCAAATAAATAAATAATAATGTATTTTTTTAAATCACGTTCTGTTGACATCCATCCATCAGATGTGGTTGCAGCTCCAATTAAACATTATTTTAAGTTATGGAAATCTGCATTGAGATTCCATCATTTGTTTTACCCCGGGGGGTAAAATGATATTGAAAATTGTTGAAGAAATTTAATTACAGTGAAAAAACAAAATTAGAATATTTATAGTTGTCTGTATTTGTCGCAACGCTGTGAATATGCATAGTCAAGAGGATGACCGATGATGACAGGGATTAATGAGCTGCTGAGGAAAAAGATAAAAGATGCGACAGTGATCCAGTAATCACTGTGTTTAACTCAAAATAGAATTTTAAAAAAATCTAGAAATACAACAGACTTGAGTGGCATCAAAGACGGAGGCAGGGGAAAACAGGGTGACAGATGGCGCTGCTTTGTAAACTAAATTTAAATGAGCAGAGACAACATGAGACTGGCAAGTGTTTTGTATGCATAACAATGAGTGGTGCTATTTTTAAAGATGACAAGATGTCAATTTCAGAACAAAAATCAGACAATGTCTGTTAAGACAGTGAATGACTAAATAAATCACACAAACAAATATGGATAATGTCTTGAAAAATTGAGAAAAAAGAATTGCGGCTAATATCGTTTTTTTTAAAATAAAAAATAAAATTAATTATTACAGAAAACTTGCATTGTTTCCTCTTACAATCAATCAATAAAAAACATTTTGTTGTTTTGTAAACAACAGAATTCTTACCCTGCTCCTCAGGTAGTCTGCCAGGTTCTTCCGTGTAAAGTTTGCTGCTGCCGATGGACTGAGTTCATAACCTACAGAAAACAAAGGGAAAAATTAGTTTGGTTTAATTAACCAAACATAGTTTTTAACTTCACGGTCACTCATTCTGCATATTAAGGACAAGGTACAGTTTCTTATTTTATGAAAATGAATATAATTATATTTATATACAGTATATATTGAAGTACTTGTCAAAGGGGGAAGGTCAAGATGCCTGAAACAGCCAGAAACCTACACTATTATATTATGACTATTATTCTACCTTCACATAGTGAAGTAATAGTGTCTTAAAGAATGTACAGATTTTTGGGTTCTTACCATTCCTCATTTTGTAGAGCTGAACGTTCTTCTGGATGTACTCTGCAAACTGCACCGTGTCTCCTGCTTCTCCGACACACAGCAGCAGGATCTTTTCACTGAGCTTGAACATTTTGTCGTAATCTGAAAAACACAAGACAAAAAGTGTATTTCTTTAATCGTCTTTTCCTGTAATATTAGTTAGGAAAAGTAACACTTTCACTTTCGCTACGGTGGTTTTTTAAATATTTAATTTAGCATTTAGAATTATTAGGACATTTCAACTCATAGCACACAAATTCCTCTGACTAAGTGTGGTTTTACAGATTATCTCGAAAAACAAAACATAACGTGTGTAAAGAGAATGCTAAAGATTTTGTGCTACTTAGCACAGCTTGGCTAGCATGAGCTTATACATTCACTTCCAAATGTGTAATTTAGTTACAACAGATGAATTACGTTGAATGCATATAACCATTTTAAAGAAATCTAATAAGCAAGAGTATGTCAAAAAAAGTAGGGTAAACACGCGTTAATTTAGCATTAGCAGCCGGGTGAGTGGCTAAAACGAAGCTAATGCATTGTCATTACCGTGTTTCATCTGAATGATGCTGCTGGCTGCCACATTATCAGCGGCGACGAGGACAAAATCCTGCCCCTGGATCCCGATTAAATATTCCATTCCAAAACCTAACTGTGATTTAAAATATTTCTTTTATTTCTGTAAAATAAAACGCCTTTCCCGACCGCTCATTCACAGATTACACAGCAAAAGTTATAGACGTCAGTCGCAGGCTGTCTACGTCACCGGAAAATAAAATACGTTTTTCCCATGCGACAAGGGCGGGCGATTTGAACGGCAACGTCAAAAGTGCGACAGTGGAATTATCTTTTCACTGTAACTGATAGATGTTTTTGTTGTAATTGTGGTTCAGTTGAAGTGACCGGACGCCTCGAATTAAAATGCTCGGCTCTAATAATCACGAGGGGACGCTACGGAGACGCTCACCGCGGCTGAGTTCTCCTTCGCTTCAAGAGAATTTAAAAACGGACACAAAAATGGCGCAGGCTCCGGTGGCAGTTAAACGCTCCATAATAGTAAGGAAAATCGCACCCAGAAAAACAGTAGCACCGTCGGAAAACGACAAGGAAAACAGACCGAGGTCATCAGTGATACCGGAGTGTACTCGACAGCAGGAAAGTAAACAGAAGATTTCCAGCCCTGGTACTACTCTGGACCATGGCAGCTCCTCGGCCGGGAAGAAGATGAGAAAGGCCGCTATGCCTTCACCGATTCTCCCTTCGTCACCTCCACCATCGTCTGGTCAACAGCAGACGAGCCAGGATCCGGAAGACGCGGTGTGGTCGCAGAAAGTTCGCCGTTCTTACAGCAGACTCAGCGAGAAGTCCTTCAACAGCCCCGACCGGAGGGAGACCTTATTTGGCTTTGAGAAGCTGCAGACGCCCGAGGTGGGGCAGAGATCCCGGCATGAAAAGACCTCTCTGGAAGCCTCTGGATCTTTATGTGGACTTGCCTCCTTCACGACCCTGCTGGAGGCGGCGGACGATGGCGGTTCTGTTTTCCCCGAACCCGATCTGAACATCCCCGGAGTGACCGTGGTGAAGGAGAAGAAGAGGAGGAAGAAGGTGCAGCAGATTGACAGCACGGAGCTGAACACTCTGGCTGCAGAGATGAACGCTGTGTTTGAGGAGGCAGACGCGTTTGAGCTTGTGGTGGAATAGTGAAATAAAAAACTTCCAAAACTGGGGAAAAAACTCCATTCAGATCTCTGGTGTGTGTCGAACCTAAGAAGCTTCCTGGACATGTCCTGATCATCTTGTTGTAAATGTTGATTGTTTGTATTTTCCTGTTTGGTTGTTCATATAATTGTTTTCCTATTTTTGGTCAAATTAAACCAATTCAAAACCATTTGAATTGTGTTAATCTGTAACTGATTTCTTGCTCTATGAAGTAGTAAGTGTAATTGTTTCATTAGACGATGTTGGATTATTAGTGTTCATGTAAAGTAGACATGGTGGATTATTAGTGTTCATGTAAAGTAGACGTGGTTAACTGAGTTGGGTTGTGGTGAAATAAGTTCATTTTTGTAGATGCAAAATCCCATTAAGATCATAAAACTGCATTTGGAAGTTACAGTGAAATGACTTTTTTTTTTACTGTTTTTTTTTTTAATGTCAATGACGTGGGTTAGCTGTTGACTCCAGAAACCATCACAACCACAGTGTTTATGACTTTACAGTCCTTGGGAGGATGAATGACATCAGGTTTAGTCCTATTTACTATAGTTTTGGAGCCTTGATTGTGCCGTTCCAGGCCATCCAAGAAAATCTTTTTTTTAATTGTTTTCTTTGGTTTTCGATGTCATTAAATATGTCGAGCTGCTAACCAATTAAATGTGTGTTTTGTTAATCTTAAATATAAATTTTAATGAAACAACTGAGAAGGTTTTTTTTCAGTTTTGATGAGGTAGAATAAAGTATTTTAAACTATAACAAATCATTTTGACATGAATAACAATCAAAGTGAGGTTTTATTGGTGTGTTCAGTCAGCGCTCAGTGGTCTCTGGTGACGACCGTGATGACGAGGCAGTCATGAGTGTGTGAGTGATCTGTCTGTTTAATGAGACGAGGTAGTGGACAGGTAGAAACACTTTCCCCCTGAGTGTCTTAAAGTGGACGAGCTGCATAATTGAGCACTAACGAGGCGGCGAGCCTGTAATTTATAACCTTCCTGTGTGAATGTTGTAGTTCACAGCACTGAAGGGCAGATTAATTGATTCACATGAACTGATACGGAGGTTAATTTACAGAGCTACGCTAACAGACCTCCAGTATTAGGGGTCAGTTCTAGCTCCAGGACCCCGACACTGGGCAGGGACCCTGAGTTTAGATACTGTACCATTGACTCAACCACACAGGCATCAGCTAAAGAAAAACAAAAATTGAATCTGTTGATCGTGCCAAAAAAATTAGGCAATAAGACAAAAGTGAAGAAGAAGAGAGACTGTACACGTAATACTAAAAGTTATCCCCAAAAAAAACTTCTAGTTGAGTTGACCAAAAACACAAAATATCTAACATAAAGTAATATTAGCCAGAATCTGCTAATCAGATCAGAAAAAGCTAAAGGTTAGCAAAAAACACAATAAGGATGATTTGGTCAGCAAAGAAATAGCTACATGACATCAAATAGCAGTAAGATAGAAATAAATGTAATCAAAATAATAATTCACCTCAGGAATATAGGTTAAATATATAAAAATATGTACAAAATTTAATAAGCAAATACAATCGACTATGATTGGTCCAGAAACCATGACGGTTCAAATGAGCTGAACACAACAACAACAACAACAACAACAATGAAAAATGTTAGCTGTCGCTAACATTTAAGCACACATTCAGCTGCAGTTGCTGCCTTTTCTTACTCTTTCTTACTGAGTGTTTTGTTGGAGAGTTTTGCATTTTTTACACTTATATTCATAGTCCTCCACCTCCTCCACCTCCTCCTGCTGCTCCTCCTTCTCCATCCACCACATTTCACTCAGGGCGGTTGTCGCTGGTTCAGCTTGACTGCTTCGTTAGGGCTCATCATTTGCATTCAGATTAATTATCTAATTACCGACAAATGTCCGGCGGCCACCCCACACTCCCGGCTCGTCAGCTCTCAGCCTGTAATTATTTTAATCATTTACTTTCATCTGGAGCGTTCCTCTGCCTCACTCCTGTGTTTAGAGGCCATTCTTAATTACCCTGCCAAGACTCCCTTTTCATGAGAGGGAAACATGGAGGAGGGGGGGGGGGTTTGTTTGAGGGAGAAGAGACAGCAAGTGGGTGAGGATGGAGAGAGAGAGAGAGAGAGACAGAGAGAGAAAGAATTACATGGATGCCTCTTCTACAGACAGATGGCGCTGTAAGATGCTTGTGTGGTCACTCAGCAAACTGACACAGTGCTGCAGTGGACCCAAACTTTTTCTTTCACTAGTTTAGGCTTTTCTCCATGCATTTTTTCCTTACATGGAAACTGCATGAAAAAATACAATGCATTCTGGGATTTGTAGTAACTGTACCTACTGAAACAGCAGAGAGCATTATTCACACCCTTCAAGCCACTGGGGTCCAAAAAATAGAAGTGATGAGCCGGATCTGGCCCGTGGGCCATGAGTTTGACACACGAAGCCAAAACTGTTTTCTACCACTTTAGAAATTCAGTTTTTAAAATATCAGAAATGAGCTTTATTTCACCAGCGTTGCGTCCACACCGATGCTGATGGAAACAGGAGCAGACAAACAAACGTGTGACTCACAGATCAAATCTGACGTCAACCAATCAAAACTGGTTTAAAAACCAGGTTTAAACACAGGCTCTAAAACTGTGAAACTCTGCTGTTAGATGCTCTTTCCTCCCTCTCTCCCCCTCTCTCCCCCTCTCTCCCCCTCCTCCCCCTCCT